AAGTGTGTAAAGTCCTTTACATGAAATAAAGTCTATATTATTTTTCTTCAAACATCTTTCAAGAAGTTTTGACATTTTTACTTAGCAAATAAATTTTAATGAAATGTTGTGGTCGTCAAATATTTTTATGACGTCTGGGAAACTATACTTTAAGTTCAACGTTTCACCTCCTTTCATAACGTATATCTTGTCAATGACATTATATGAAACACCACAGCAACTAATGTCGGGTTCTATTTCTTTGATGTTTATATCGTCTGCCTCTGTCAAAAGTTTCAATAGTTCTTTCAAAACTTCATGAGGTGCAATGACATATGAGTTCACTTTTACAGGGTTGTGTTCGACCAAGTTTAACATTATACTTAAAGCTTGACAAATCTTCTCCTGAGTTTGAAGTTTGTCTTTCAGTTGTTGGTAGTCGTTTCGAATATCTGCAACAGAACTTAAGTCTCTGCTAACTTCAGGATATGTTGGTTGTTCTTTTACAGGAACAATTGTTATACCATCTTCGTCTTCGTATGGTTTCCCCACTTCAACATCTCTGTCTTTGACATTGACAACAACACTTTGACTGTTTGTTTGAGTTGGTGAATTTAACTTCACATCTGCCACCGCCATTAAACCTTTTGAAACACTCACGCTTCTATTTTTCGGAAATGACATTTTACTTAGAATAAAAAGATGGACGTATTCGAGTATCTCTTCGAATTGAAGCAGAACAAAGTTTACACACACAAACAATACAAATACATTGACAGAATAGTTCTTTATACAAACAATGGTAAATGTTATAGAATAGCAATATTTGCTGAACCAAAATATTTTCATAAAGCAAAGAAAGTTGGTATAACTGAAATGGTGAAAGTTCTTGAAGCAGACAAAAATATAAACTTCAAAACTTACAGATATTTCTAAAGGTAAGTTTATCTTACAATATTATGTCAAAATGGCGTACTGTCAATATTTGACGGAGAGAAGTCAGTTCAAGAACAACTTACTGACCTGCTGCCAAAATCTGCTCGATGGAAGCTGTCGTTATGCCAATCTGAGGAGCCCCAGCAGGTTTCATCGAACGAATCTTCAAAAGAGCATCTTCCGTGAAAAGTGCTATTGGTTTTGTAAACTTCTTTGCTCTCAGTTCATCTGGACCGTCTCTGTCACCAGTATATTGTATTTGTACAGTACCAACAGTTGAAATACCACCCATAAAGTCTTCTGAGTCAGCAAATGGAATGCCAAGCCAAAAGTTTGAACGGTCTCCATTTGTATATTGAGTTTTTTGACCTCCTGTATGAGTCCATACTTTCACATATGGCATAATAGAACTTTGCATTTCAGGGTTAATGGTTGTTGTGAAGTTGTTGTTAAAGTTCATAGCATCTAATGTCAAGTTGTATGACCTCATATCCTCAACTGTAGAATATTCTTCTCTTGGATAATATTTGCCATCTATGTTTATATGATATTTAATACCGGGTTGTAGAAACAAGAATAGTCATTTATAGTTCGTCTGAACAGTACAAACATAGTATCTGCATGTTTCATTGCAGTTGTTAAAGCAATATCTGTTCTTGCACCTGGGCTCCTGATTTGGTTTCCAACTTCACCTGCAAAGTCTTTGACAGATATTTGGTGTATAGGGAACATAAGTGGAACTGCAATATATTTGGCAGCTAAAGCATTTGAAATATCTGGGTCCAACATATAGACTGCAAGTCTGCTTTCTATTCTCTTGCATTCAAATTTTTTTCGCATGTGAACTTAACTGGGTCCCAAGCAGTTTCCAGCAGCATTGAAATAATAGTTTACTTCATTGTTGAAGTTTGAGAAACCAAAGTCTAAGTCAACTTGTTGTCTTTGCAAAGTCACAGAACTTGGCTCCACCAGTTCCAGCTACAGTAATGCTGAATGGTCTTGTGTTGGTGTAATGACTAAGTTATTTTTGCTTGGAGTAAGTTCAATAGAAATTTTTCCTGCCCAGTTTGGCAAGTATCTTAAAAACCTGAAATGAGGAAAGATGACAAAGGAACTCTAAGTTTCAGTTTTACTTAGTGGCAGCAGTTCCATCTGAACCAGAAAGGTTAACATAAACTCCTGGAACGTTAGGGTCAAGTCTTCTTATTTTCTCAATATTTGCATACTGGTCTGTTTGTTCTCTAGCTTGTGGTTGTACTGAGTTTCTCAAAGCGAACCATTCATAGTTTGCCCATGTTACTGTTTGAACTAAGTCAGAGTTAGAATATATCTTATATCCCATGAAAACTTCTGGAGCATATTGGTATCCGACATAGAAAATTCCATTGCAACCTTTCTTGTCAGACAACTTGGCAGAAGGTTTTATTTCAATGTCTTGTTCCACGTATAAGAATGAGTTGTCAATAGAAATAATATGAAACCTGTCGCAAGCAATATCTACTGTTGTTGAAGAACCTTCTCCAAACTCACCTACGTTTCCATAAGAAACAGCAGTTGTATATTCGTAAGTTCCAGGAACTATTTCTGACCTTCTAATGGCATTGTCGCATTCGTTATACCATTCGGAAACATTTCCGTTCATGGCATCCAAAACTGTTGGCGTTATATTCTGAGCGGCGTACATTTCATATGGGTAAAAATATAGAATAGTTGGATTTATATGTCATAATAGAACCCACTCGGACCAAGCTTTACTTTCTTCCTGACTGAGTTTTTAACTCTTCTTTTTCCTTCATTGCCACTACTTTCACTAGATGAAGTTACTTCTTCACTACTTTCACTTTGTTCTACTCTTCTTCTTTGGTGTCGCTTTTGGTAACTTGCCCTCTGCTTCAAGTTGTTGCATCTTTGCCTCATGTTCACCTAGTATGTTGTAAATTTCCCATGTCCTTTTTGCCTTTGGGCTCTGGTCGCCCATCTCAGGTAACCTATATCCTAGAAAGATTTTGTCATAGTTTGTATTTGAGTCTTCGCGTATTGTTTGCATGACTCTTTCCTGAGTTTCCGGTTCAAGCTCTTCAAACAGAGCTTGTCCATATGGAATAAGCTCGTTTCCAAATATATGTTTTTGTAGCCATTCTGGTTTTCTTTCCATGTTACCAATAATATCTTTTGTGAATGGGAAAGCTTTTACCCAATGTTTCAGTCTTGCGTCATTTATTTCTGTAGTTGGTTTTATTTTGTCAAGGAACATGTTTTTCAATACTAACATTTCATTTGGTACTGTCCATTTGAGTTTTCTTAAATATTCATCCCTTCTCGTTCATTGTCTGCAAAGTAAGTTTTTATGACATTTTGCAAACTTTCGTTTGCAAGGTCATGTACAATAGGTTCTCTTCCTTCTATCTCCCTAACTTTCTTTCTAAACTCTTCACCAAATATACCATCTCTATGGTTCTGTGTAGTTCTTTGAGATAAATGTTCTAGAACGTCAGGTGTTATATTTCCATCAGCCATGTTCATTTCATACTGGTCCAAAATATCTGCATGTTTCATATCTTTCAATGGCATTAAAGCCGCGCTGAAAATACCAGCTATATCTGGTTCACCATTCACTTCCATTGCGTCTACAACTTCTTGGAATTGTGGTTGTAAGTTTATGAACCACCTATCCGGATTAGCTTTATGACCCCATCTCATTGTAGTTCCATAGTCTGCAGAAACAAAAGTAGGTTTGTTTCCATATTGGTTAGGTTCTGAATGAACTTTAAACAATGTTTCATTTCTATATGTTTTGTTGAAATTTAACCTTTTATTTTCACCGAGTTCAGCCAAAGATTGAACGTTATATGGTCGTAAGTAAAAAGGATTGTTGTATTTGCGTACACTTTCTTTCAGTTCTTCCATTCTATGCTGAATATTTTCATCTGATGTTGGAGTCTTTTGTATGTCGGCGAACATTTTTCGATATTCTTCTACTATGTCAGCCGAATTTTTCTTAGACTCTTGGAAAGATTCCATATTCTCCGCATACTCTTGTTGAGGGTCAAGATTTTTCGGCTGTTCCAAATCTTCATCTAGTTCTGTGAAGTTAGTTTCCAAAGGAGGGACTTGTTCGTTTCCTTCAGGCTCTTCTAGCTGTTGTTGCTGAACTATTTCTTCCATGTCTGGTTGTATCTGAACTTCTTCCTGTGGAGTTTCTTGTACCTCATCTGCTGGCATTTCATATATTCCGAGACCGTTTTTAAAAGTTCCCTATTAAGTCATCCGCATCATAACCTTTCTTCTTTCGTTCCGTCTCTATTTTTTACGCGTTTCATGAAGAGAGTTGAATTATCATTTAGCTCTGACACCAAATATCTCGGAGTAAATTCATCATGTCATTTGGATGATATGCTATTAAATCATATCCCTTAGCGAGCTTGTATTTTCCAGGTTTGAAATTATATCCCATTTGGTGCTGAACCATAAAGCTAAATAGGTTCGGGTCAGTATTTCCTTCCTTGAACTTTCTAATAGCTTCTTTATATCTGTCACTAAAGTCAAGAGTATCTGGGTAACCATAGTCTTCCTTAAGCATTTTTAAGAATTCTTGGTTTCCTTGTTCTCTACTTCTTTTATGTCCTTGCTCTGTTTGTGGTTGTTGCTGTGCAGTGTTTTGAACTGTTGGTTGTGTGCAGTGTTTTGAACTGTTGGTTGTGGTGCAGTGTTTTGAACTGTTGGTTGTGGTGCAGTGTTTTGAACTGTTGGTTGTGTGTTTGAACTGTTGGTTGTTGTGTGGTTTTGGTGCATGCCTGTGTCTGTGTCCATGTGACGATGTAAATGTTTTAGGTAGTCCTGGTGCAGGTGCTTCTCTTGGAGGGTTTGGTGGTATATAAGTTCCACCAGCTGGCACATATGTTCCATCTGCAGCATAATGTCCTACCTGACTTTTCGTTTTTTAAGAAAGCATTTACTAGGTCTGTTTTGGTCTGTTGTAACTCTTTTTCTTGACTTTCCACAACAGTTGCTCTAACGGCGTCATAGGCACTTTGAACTGCCTGTCTCGTTGCTGCATCTGTTATTTTCGTCATATTTTGTGCTACTTCTCTTAACTCTTTGTCGAAACCTTCAGACTTCAGTTTCTTTCCAGATGAGAAGTCGTTCACTAGTTTCACCTTACTATGAAGAGCTTCGAAGGCGTTCTTAAAGTCAGCATTCATTAAAGCTTCATTTGAACTGTCTTCATCCGCTTGTATTTTTGTCCTTATTGACCCTATAAGTTGGGCTGCTTTAGCGTTGGCTTGGGCATCTAACCAGTCATTATTAGCTTTTATATATTCTGCGCTTTTCATTGCCTTTTGCATGGCTGCGTCGTTATTTTTACTTTCTTGTGCTAAGTTTTCATACTGTACGGTTTGGTTTTGCAACTGTAAAAGTTTTTCTGCCTTTACATTTGCTTCAACTTCTTTTTTATACTCATCGCTATCCATATATGTCTTCAGGGCTTTTTGTTTTATCTCTTCATCTTTCAGTACTTTATATTGAGTAGTATGGTTTTTCAAATTTATAACATCTTGTTCCATTTTTGCTACTTCTGCTGCTTTTTCTGACACTTTTTTCGCATATTCCTCTGTACTTAGTTCTTTCAGTTGTTCTTCTTTCTTCTTTTTCTCTACGTTTAACTCATTGAGTTTCTTTGTGTGTCTGTCATATTCTAGTTTCTTTTCGTTTTCACTTATTTGTTTCTGTATGTCTATGTTTGACTTTTTGACATCTGTTATTTGATTTTTGAGTGAACTCAAATTCATTTGACTTTGAGGGTTATAAGCTGTTCCGTCTGCAGCTCCACCATAGCCTGCCATTTTCGCTAAAAGTGCCGCTCTTAAACCTCCACTCTGTGCACCAATAACTCGGTTTAAAAGCATAGGGTTGCTTGACATTTGTTGCAACATAGTGGGGTCATTCATCATTTGTTGTTGCAACTGTTGTTGTGGTGTCAGTTTTACTATTGGATGTTTCAATGCTCCCTTCCTCTTACGTATATTCTTACGTAGCTTACGTGGCATTTTAAGTGAAGTTAAAAAGCGGTTTTTGACAGATGTTTATATGACACTTTTTGTTCAGCACAAAAAACTACTCGGTCAAAGTGTTGTCAGTTTTGTAAAATAACCGTCCTATCTCATTCTATAAGGGAAAAGGCTTCTCAAAGTATACTTCCTTGGAACGCCTGTAACTTTTCCTGTAGCGACGATAGACCCTTAGTTGTCCGGACAAAGTTATACTATTTTGAGTGCTCTACAAAAAAGTCAACGGCGACGACTCTCAAAAACCGTTGTGTAAAAAGTTTTACCGTTGGACAAAAAAGTATATATAGAAAACAAAAAACGTTTATAGTTCATTCAATATTTGAGATGGAACGGTTTGCCAACGGTAACTATTAAATAAAATAAAAAAATAGAGGGGGTCTCCGTTGGTAAAAACCGTTTATTTTAAACTTTTCTATGAGTAGTCCGAAAAAAACAGTTCATTTTTCATAATGGAAGGAAGAAAAAATGTCGCAAACAATTCGTCGACTACCTCTGCAGTTAAAGTTCCTACAACTTATGTCTCACCATTCTCAAAACCCTTACGACCTCCTATAATACCAAAGCAACTTCCTCATACAATTGCAAACAATTCGTCGACTACCTCTGCAGTTAAAGTTCCTACAACTTATGTCTCACCATTCTCAAAACCCTTACGACCTCCTATAATACCAAAGCAACTTCCTCATACAATTGCAAACAAATTGTCCAACAATTTGAGTTCTTCTTCTCAAAACACAACAGATACAGTTGTCCAAACAGCACCAGAACAAGTTTCACATAGTTCTACAATTGCAAACAAATTGTCCAACAATTTGAGTTCTTCTTCTCAAAACACAACAGATACAGTTGTCCAAACAGCACCAGAACAAGTTTCACATAGTTCTACAATTCAAGACAAATTGTCCAACAATTTGAGTTCTTCTTCTCAAAACACAACAGATACAGTTGTCCAAACAGATTTACAACCAGCACCAGAACAAGTTTCACATAGTTCTACAATTCAAGACAAATTGTCCAACAATTTGAGTTCTTCTTCTTCTCAAAACACAACAGAAACATCTGAAACAGATTTACAACCAGCACCAGAACAAGTTTCACATAGTTCTACAAGTATGTTAACAAGAGCACAATTTCAAGATTTAATTTCTCTTGAACAATATTCGAGTAACGAAACACAAAGCGACGACTGTAACCTCTCGCTACCCGAATCCATTCAAAGAAAATACGCCATGAAAAGACTGAAATTGTTGTATAAACTTCTTAACAATTGGGGAGTCGAAGACAACTCAGATTATAGTGAAATGTTTAACAAAGTCATAGAATCTGTTAAACCAATTGAAAACGACATAAAAAATCCCGGTGTTCTTGTAGACCTTTTCGCCTCAAAATTACCAGTTACAACCAATCTAATAGCAACACAAGCTATAGAGCAATTTATTTTATGTTTTCCCAAGCAATATAGACAACACCTGAGGGAAACAAGAATAGGAAAATTTCAATTGGTGTATCCTACAACATACAACTATTACGAAGAAGCAAATGAATATGGAGAACTCTCATTCCATTTCACACTTTCAGTTCCTGAGGGGGAAGAAAAAGCAATCTATCATGTACAATCTCTTGCAGGATGTGAAGGAAAACCCACATAATAACTACTGTTGCAATTGACAAACCTGCAAGAGTCGAAGACGATGTTTTGTTCGCGTCCATTGCTGGTTTTGGCATGGGAGAACCAATTCCAATTTCCCATTTCACAGAATACTCAGCACAACATTTTCAAAATGTAGAATTCGTGTTCTACGACCATCAAAAGTTCCTGCTAACAAAGCCAAAGAAACAATTTGTCTCAATATTTGTTGCTGGTCATGTGGCTGACAAAGAGCCATCAGATACTGACTATGAAGAAGAGGAGGAGGAAGAAGAAAACGATAGCGATGTCGTTCTTATCGAATAAAAACTTTAATTTCTTACTATATAATTTTTTAGTTCTCCTCTAGGTTTTTTTAGGGGCTAGAAGGGGCGCAGCCCCTGGAAGCCCCACTACCTTTTTTTTTTTTTTCATTTAATATTATTTTGATAATGAAGATTTTATTTTGCAATAATATAAACGAAATTTTTTACCTTATGAACTTTTGATGGAAATATGCAAATTTAAAATAATAAAGAAAGCCGCGAGCGAAGCGATCGGCTTAGTTCGAAGATTTTGATTCAAATCTTTGCTGATCTGTAATTCGCGGAAGCCGCGAGCGAATCGAGCGGCTTAGGTCTAAGATTTTGATTCAAATCTTTGCTGATCTGTAATTCGCGGAAGCCGCGAGCGAATCGAGCGGCTTAGGTCTAAGATTTTGATTCAAATCTTTGCTTATATTCCTTAAATTCTTTATGAAACTCGCAACAGTTCCATAAAAAATTTTAAATTCTAAACTGTCGAAATTACCGATCGGTAATCACACCCTTCACGGGTGTGTCACTTTTTACAGGCGTGTCACTTTTAGCCAAAATTACCCCTACTCCAGGCGAAAATGAGGGAAAAAGTGAGAAAAAGTGGCTTTTCAGTTTACAATTTTTAGTTGATACACCTCTTTCAGCTTTATTTTAATATTGCATTCGACTTGCATTATCCAGTGAAAAAAATCATTGTATATTAAGGGTGCACTTACCAATTTCTGACATTCTCTCAATTTTTTGACATCCAAGATTTATATACCAATTTTCTTAGGTAAAATGATAATATTTTTTGGCTTATAGTATAGCTCGTAAATTTTCGTTTTTTGAAAGAAAAATTGAAAAATATCAATGTAGTGAGGATTGTCAGCATTCACTCAAAATCTACCAAGAGTTTCAAAGTTTCAAATCTATCTGAAATGAAGCTTTGAATCTCTTGTATATCTAATTGTAGAGGTACCTTTTCAAAATGTCTTCTATTGATTAAATTTAATCAGTAAAAGTCATTTTGAAAAGGTACATCTCTATAATTGCTATTGAGCATTCACTCTTGGAACCTTGGAGCTCTTGTGTAGTGCATGAAAACTCCAAGATTCTAGCATAAAACATATATCATAGACATAATTTCTTCAAATATAATTTAAGGTTATTTTTTTTAAAAATTAGAAAAGCGTAATTTAAGGTTATTGAAAAGTGACACTTGGCAAATTTGTCCCGCAATCGAGAGATATATAGTCTATCGATATATATCTCACCCTCTGGTTCCCTTTCTGACAGCGGGAAACTTTGTCTGAATGTTAAACTATTCAGACAAAGTTTCCCGCCTATAACAGAACATTTTTATACAGCCTGATCTACAAGTTCTACCAGTTCAAATACAATCTCTTTTTTTCAAATTTTAAGTTCTATTGTTCTCATATCTTTCAATTTTCTAAAAACCTCTCATTTACAGATTTTAATCATAATATTCAATTTCTCTAGCATGTGTATTATGTGATTATTCAAAAAACTTTTAAATATATAAAAATTAATTTTTATTAAATTATTTAATGTCTTGTATTTCGATTTTTCCTTCTGAAGTTAGCGAGATCCTCTTTTAGGTCGCGCTCTTCGTGTTCGACAATCCATTTCGGATTTTCTTTGTCTTCAACAAGATTCCAAAAGTTATTTTTTTCATGAATGAGGAATTCTCGTGGTGTAAAGTTTGTGTTTGTGTTTGGGTTCTTTGGTAATTGCGAATGTGGCTTGTTGTTGTAAAAGTTGATCCAAATTATAACATCCGACTTGCTACTTGAGTGTTTTTCGATATCAGGCCATATACGCTCGACCCTTCCATTTTGGCGAGACGTATATGGAGTGATTGTTATATGTTCAATTTGATTTCGATCAAGAAAATTTTGAAATTCTCCAAAATTTTCGAGATCATTATCGGTCCAAAATGCAAAAGGTGCAAAACCTAATGCATTAATTGCTCTTTGTGCAACAAAAGTTGTATTTGATGCAGATTTTTGTTTAAGAAATTGAAAATCGACGATATAACGGCTTCTATCGTCGATTATCAAATACAAATAATTTCCAATTTCATGACGAAAATAATGAATATCACAGTGTAATATTTCAAAAATATTTTTTGCTTGACATTGAGTGATTTTTTCTTGTGGTTCAATTGGAGGTGGATTTTCTGGGTTTATAAATAATTTGTAGTATTTCCTTCCATCACGATATGAATAAAAAGGACAATCTGGATTCAAATAAACCGCCGAAATGAGAGTTGGTGTGATATCAGTAAAATCGACTGTTTGGGATGGGATAATGCTTGTATCGTTTGATGTTAAATTTTCTCTGTCAATTTGATAAAACCAACCATTGAAATTTTTGAGAGCATCTTTAATTGAATTTTTATCATCAATATTAATTTGTGATTTAATATTTTCAAATTGATTGCGGTTTTGTCTCACCATAATTATATCTTATCTCATTTTACTGATAATTGAATTAATTCCTGGTAATTTTTCCGTAATCTTCTTCATATTGTCAATACTTTCAATTATAAGAAGATGTAATTCTTTTGTTTTTCTTCCTGGTTTGAATTTTGTTACAAGATTCTGAAATTTGAGAGCTTTGTAAAATGTGGGCTTTGAAATTGTTGAAGTTATATATCGTCTTCCTTGTGAATCTTGAATTTCGACATTTCTGAGTGTTCTTTTTAAATTTTCTCCAGATTCTAATAATGTCAATGTATTTAAACACCACTCTTTTGTAATTTGTTCAGGATTAATACGACCATGAAGAAAAGCATCATGTGCATCTAAATTTGCTTGAACTAATGCTTCTCGGCTCGAAATAGTTCTTTTTCGTTGGGCCATTTAAAAAGTTTTTTTTTGAGAAATGAATATTTATATATCTATATTTATAGAAATATATTTGAATTTATGAGAATATTATAGGCCTATATAAATTAGGATAATGAAAAAAATGCGCGCCAAAAAATGGCACTTTTTCGTTTACCATTTCGGTATGAGACGGTTTTTTTGTAAATTTTTTGTAAATTTTAATGAGTAAATACCATTGGCATAGACCATCAAGAAAATTAATTGATCTTGAGTGGCTCAAAGAATCTGTTAAGCAAATTAATGAGGGTAAGAAACTTAAAGACGTTTGTAAAAAAGCTCGTTTTAATAACGGATCTTACCGAGAAATTTCAAAGACTATGTTCAAAAAACTTGTTAATGAACATAATTTAGAATTAAAACCAAAACGGGGCCGAAAGCCAATCGAAATTAATCTTGTTGTGGCTCAGGCATATGCAAATTTGAAAGATTTAATGGCAAATGTCGGAATTAATCAAATTATTCAGAAAATCAGAACAGATTTTATCAATATAAATCATAATCCTGGCGAATTTGAAAAAAATCAATCTGAAATTCAAAAAAACGGAGAATTAAATTTTCAATCAGGAAGCTGGCTAGATCAAATTGATCGAACAACTCTAGTTCAGGTAGTACATGAAATTGAAGGAACTCCCATTGAAATTAATCCTATTAGAGAATCATTACAAACAGCAACATATATCACAAAAACAATCGAATCTCCATCTTATTTGATGGGAAGAAAAATCCATAAAGCAATTATAGCTGGTACACCCTCTCAAAATGAAAAAATCGAAGAAAAATATACTCCTAGAGATTATCTTGCAGCCAAATGTCACAAAATTTGGCATGCTGATATCCACTATTGGAGGAAACGCATAGGCAAATATCTCTTCGCAATTATCGACGATAGATCCAGAAAAATCATAGATTATAATTTGTTTTCCCAAAAAAACAGCATGTCAAATTTTATATGCATGTAAGGTCCACTTTTATGAGTTTCAGGAAGTAATTGGAGGCCATGAGTTAATGACATTTCATCAGTATCTCATAGCCTCCAATTACTTCATAAAATGGGAGAAACTTTGTCCGAATAGTTTAACATTCGGACAAAGTTTCTCCCATTTTATGAAGGAATTGCAGTGTAAGAGGTACATATTCATACTACGTACCTCTTACCCTGCAATTCCTATCAGAAAGTGTCAAAACTTTGGGTTAATTGCAAGACATTAACCCAAAGTTTGGACACTTTCAAGTGGAGATGGAAGGCTTTGGGGTATATATTAATATAATATACCTCAAAGCCTTCCATCTCCACTACAAATGGGAGAAACTTTGTCCGAATAGTTTAACATTCGGACAAAGTTTCTCCCATTTTGAGAAGGAATTGCAGGGTAAGAGGTATATAGTGACCCTTTATACCTCTTACCCTTTAATTCTCATTAATATTGGGAGAAACTTTGCCCCAATGATAAGTTATTCGGACAAAGTTTCTCCCGTTTCTGGAAGAAATTGAAAACAATTTGTACTTTAATCAGAGAACCAGAGTCTCCTAGGTACTGAACCTGAATCAGTGCCTAGGAGACTCTAGTACTTTATATAAAGCTGAGAAACTTTGAGGAAATTGTTCGACATTTCTTCAAAGTTTCTCAGCAATTTAGCGGGGAATGTTTGTTATATGGTATATATTACAAATGTATACCCCATAACAAACATTCCCCGCTAAAAGAAGTAAAATGTTATAACTATTAATTGTAAAAGAATAACAAATTACTCTAAATTTTATATGAAACTGAACTTTATAAGGCAGTGATCCTGAATCACTGCCTCATAAGATTCAGCTTCTTTGCCGAACAACGAAAAAGTAAGGCACCATTTTTTGTCACGAAAAGTGTCACTTTTCTGTCAAACCATTTTTATCGTTTTCGTTTACAACACTTCGCAATTTGGACCGATAACGGACTCGAAAACAAAAGCACATTTCACGCATTACTGGTAGAAAGAAAAATCGAGCACATTTTCATACAGCCGGGAACCCCACAAGCCAACGGCAAAATCGAAAGATGGTGGCCGTTTGTCGAAAAGAATTGTCAATCACAACGTGATCTAAGCAAAGTCATCAAATTTTATAACAATATGCCTCACTCATCACTGCCTATCAATCCTATTACAAAGGTCAGCTTTAAGTATAAAAGAAAGCATCGCACACTTTAGAGAGTAAAAAGAAGAGCAGGTTCCAATAAATTGTAACAAAAATACGAAATTACAAGAATAAACAGTTGATTTTATTAATATTATAGATAGAAAGAAAGCAGACTTACTAAGATGTGAAAGGAAAAGAAATTGAAATATGGTATATAAGTTACATATAAAAAAGTTTCGCGCTACTCCCAGGTTCCAGTCTCAAACAGAAATCTCAGAATTTTATCTCGCATACCAAGTTTTCTATAGAAAGTTATCAATTTATTTAACAAAACTCATTTCTCGAATAACATCATTCATACCGTTATCAACACGCCCATTTATCTTCATAAATTTCAAATATTGCATTTTATTCTTTTCCGTTACAATTGATTTTCCATTAATTATTGCAGCAGCAAAATATATAACCTGAAATTATTGTTTTTCTAAACTCATGGCTTGATTTGACATTTCTAACTACAACATATAAAATATCAAAATTTAAACTCCGTAAAAATTCAATCATTTATATCCTTACCTACAATATTTTTATTTCCTTAACTCTTTTTTACATCTCACCGTTCAAATAAAAAATTATGAAATAAAAAAATTGTATTTCTCTTTTTTAATAATGGTGTGTTTGCATTTACTTTCATAATATTAAAGAATATCATAAAATAAGTAAAGAGGTATAGATCCAAGGTGATGTGATTTTTGCATCCCTGGGATGGACGATACACCCAAAGTGTCACCTTTTTGGGATAACATGAATTTTAAATATCATGAGAGTTCTGCAAACCATATGCACAATATCTATTTAGCCTGACTTCTTGTATATATGAGTTAGACTTCTTAAATATTGTGCTTGGGGCGATATAAGCATTTCCGAGATTACCATCGTGCTCTATAGTATGCTACTTCTCCCTGGTTCTAGCTCAGTTCCAAGGATATTGGCGTTCAAGGATTTGGCAAGGTCCTTCCGAAGTCTCTCATTCGATGAGAGATTTCGGAAGAATCTTGCCTTAAAGTACTCCAACTCTTGTTCTTTTGTTCCTAAATAGTGAGAAAAGTTATTTGACTACTTAAGGAGTTAGTATGGGTTAGTCGTGTACTGAGGCACTGCGCGCCTCCGTACACCACTTAGCGGTTTTGACACTTTACGAAACCATTAACATATATTTTTACAACACAAACGACAACACTAGCTTAACCTTAAATATTTACAAAGCCGCCAACCACTTCACCCCACTAGCGAACTCACTAATGAAAAAAATAAACGTTCTCATAAATTTTCTTCTATATCTTCATCATCAATGTTAACTCTATTGTAGTCATACTTGAAGTCATAAAGTTTCTCAAGTTTTGAAATGCATAGTCTTGTTAACTTACCTTCATCATCATAAGTTTTTATAAAACTACCATGACAATCTTTATACACAGTCAATGTATAATCTACTGGTCTAGGATGAAGTGTAAAGAACATGTTATACTCAGGAAGGAAGAATAAATGTTTAAATGTATGTTTGTTATATTTTTCGATTTGTATGAGTTGCTTTTGTTCTGTCATTTACATCCAAATAAAATAAAAAATAAACTTAAAAATAAATGATATCACCACCCTCACACGTATGAAAACATCCATTTAAATTTAGGTGAAGTGGTGAGATCTCACCTGTTTTCTCACCTCTTTTTTCACCCTGTTGAATTCATTGCTTTATTCCTCACTGTCGTCTGCTTTCTCCAACTCTTCTAACTTCTTCCTAAGTTCAGCAATGTTGTCCTCATGAAGTTTAATCTTTCTCAAAATTCCTTCTTTATCTAATGGTTGCTTTATCTTTCTAAACTGAACTCTACCATCCTTCATAGTATGAATGTAAAAACCTTCTGGAATAGTTCCTGATTTAATGTATTCTACCAAAAACTTTTGTTTCATTGCTCAGTGACTTTATTTGTCATTTTACTCTAAGGTGAAGCTAGCACAGCGATAATGGATTTCATGACTTTTTAGTATTTCATGCAATCTTAACAGATAGCCTTACAAGTACTTCCAGTATCGCTAGCTGTCCCTCCTTTTTATATAACTCCATGACATTTATAATTTCGCGAAACTTAACAGGTAGCATAACAGATTAAAATCAGATGAGGTTTTGAACCAAAATTTCTAAGCAACGTTGTCAAGGATTTTTGAGGAACTAGGGACAGAGTGTGGCAAAGTCCAAGATTTAATTTATCTTCATCTGTTTCATCAGCTATCTCATCTAATATGCCAATATTTTATTCATAACTCGTGGCAAACCCACTAACCTTCATTATGTTCATCTGCATGCTTCATCTGATAGAAAGTATGACTTTCATTAACTCTGTGAGATAATGAAAACTACTAGGGACAGAGACCATGGCAAAGTTCATGACTTTCATTATTTCCAGAACTTAATGAAAACTACTAGGGACAGAGACCATGGCAAAGTTCATGACCTCCTTATTGCATGAACTATTTCATCATTGTTCTCATGTATGACCTCCTCATTGTTCTCATGTATGACCTCCTCATTGTTCTCATGTATGACCTCCTCACTGTTCTCATGTATGACCTCCTTATTGCATGAACTATTTCATTATTGCATGAACGACCTCCTTACTGTCTTTCATAAGCGTTTCAAAGTCTCCTTTACTCATTACTTCAATCTCATGCTGTTCACAGTAGTACTTAAACTCACTGTATATGTCTTTGTTGTATGTTATATTGCTTCCCATGTACTCCATGAATTGTTTAGGGTAGATGGTTAGATCTAACCTCATTTCTACCCTCATTTCTACCCTCAGCCGCTAAGCGGCGAGACCCAAAGGGTCTTGAATTTTCATGATTTCTTCGTAAATGATTTGTCAAACATGAACGTAAATGTTTTGTCATGATTTCATCGAAACTAAACGTATATGTTTTGTCAAGACTTCTTTGTATATGTTTTGTCATGATTTCTTCATCGTAAATGTTTTGTCATGATTTCTTCATCATAATGAGTGTAAATGTTTTGTCGAAACTTCATCGTAAATGTTTTGTCGAAACTTCTTCATCGTAATGAGTGTATATGCTTTGTCATGACTTCTTCATCGTAATGAGCGTATATGCTTTGTCAAACATGAACGTAAATGTTTTGTCATGATTTCTTCATCGTAATGAGCGTATATGCTTTGTCAAACATGAACGTAAATGTTTTGTCATGATTTCTTCATCGTAATGAGCGTAAATGTTTTGTCATGATTTCTTCATCGTACATGTTTTGTCATGATTTCTTCATCGTACATGTTTTGTCATGATTTCTTCATCGTACATGTTTTGTCATGATTTCTTCATCGTACATGTTTTGTCATGATTTCTTCATCGTAATGAGCGTATATTCTTTGTCAAACATGAACGTAAATGATCCAAAAATAATGTTTAGGGTAGATGGTTAGATCTAACCTCATTTCTACCCTCATTTCTACCCTCATTTCTACCCTCAGCCGCTAAGCGGCGAGACCCAAAGGGTCTTGAATTTTCATACGGAATCTCTTCGTATATGTTTTGTCAAGACTTCTTCATCGTAATGAGCGTATATGTTTTGTCAAACATGAGCGTATATGTTTTGTCATGATTTCTTCATCGTATATGTTTTGTCAAACATGAACGTATATGATTTGTCGAAACTTCTTCATCGTAATGAGCGTAAATGTTTTGTCAAGATTTCTTCGTTTATGCTTTGTCATGATTTCTTCGTATATGTTTTGTCATGACTTCTTCATCGTAATGAACGTAAATGAACCA